AGTGTTTCTCAATCCGCACGGCCAGTTGATGTTGCAGTTGATCTCCCGTACTCGTGTGGATTCAACTATAAAACAGCACCAGTCGAGGTTGATTCAATCTTCGCCCACCGAGATCGAGTTTTTGCATATTTGGAAAACGTAAAAAATTTCCAGTGTAACGATCTTACCCCGTGGAGCGACACTTTCTTTGGGCGCGACGACTCGTGGTCGGGTGTTCACATCATATGGGGCTTTCATATTCGCCTGTTTTGAAATGACTCTATCATGCATTGATGGATTAAGCAGGTCGAGTCGTGTACGCAACTGCCGCTTGAACATCAATTCTGCAGGCAAAGCACCAGTTAAGTCGTTTGGTGTTATGTAATAGCTGAACAGAAAGCGTGACAACTTGGTGACCAAGTCCGCTTCCGTATGTCTGGCTAGTACGTGCTTTATTGTCTGGACTGCACGCTCTTCGAGGCCATTAGAAGCAGCGTGGTACGGGGCAGTAGTTAAATGCCTAATTCCATTTTTCTCCATGAACTCTTTAAATTCTGCACTAGTAAAGGCCGGGTCATTGTCTGAAACGACCATTTCAGGTATCCCAAAAGTAGAGAATACGGTTCGCAACTTGTTGATTGTAGTCAGTGAAGAACAAGAATTTCCAGTCGGAATCACATCAATCCATTTACTGTGGGCGTCAACTAGCATAAAAACCATATGGCCTTGGAATGGCCCAAAATAATCGACGTGTACCCTCTTCCACGGTGAGTCGGGCCAGGCCCAAGGCTTCAGAGGAATCTTCGGTAAGGTCTTCTGTGTTATTTGGCACATGTGACATGCTTTCGCCACGTCTTCTATATCTGCGTCAATTTTGGGCCACCAAACATAGCTGCGGGCGAGAGCTTTCATTCTAACTGTACCAGGATAGGCATTATGCAGGTCTCTGAGGATGACCCGTCGGCCTTGTGGTGGCACAACTTCACGATTACCCCATAATATGCATCCGTCAGAACGAGTTAAGTCTAAAAGTCGGATGCATATTATGGGGTAATCGTGTAGTTGTGCCACCACAAGGCCGACGGGTCATCCTCAGAGACCTGCATAATGCCTATCCTGGTACAGTTAGAATGAAAGCTCTCGCCCGCAGCTATGTTTGGTGGCCCAAAATTGACGCAGATATAGAAGACGTGGCGAAAGCATGTCACATGTGCCAAATAACACAGAAGACCTTACCGAAGATTCCTCTGAAGCCTTGGGCCTGGCCCGACTCACCGTGGAAGAGGGTACACGTCGATTATTTTGGGCCATTCCAAGGCCATATGGTTTTTATGCTAGTTGACGCCCTCAGTAAATGGATTGATGCGATTCCGACTGGAAATTCTTGTTCTTCACTGACTACAATCAACAAGTTGCGAACCGTTTTCTCTACTTTTGGGATACCTGAAATGGTCGTTTCAGACAATGACCCGGCCTTTACTAGTGCAGAATTTAAAGAGTTCATGGAGAAAAATGGAATTAGGCATTTAACTACTGCCCCGTACCACGCTGCTTCTAATGGCCTCGAAGAGCGTGCAGTCCAGACAATAAAGCACGTACTAGCCAGACATACGGAAGCGGACTTGGTCACCAAGTTGTCACGCTTTCTGTTCAGCTATTACATAACACCAAACGACTTAACTGGTGCTTTGCCTGCAGAATTGATGTTCAAGCGGCAGTTGCGTACACGACTCGACCTGCTTAATCCATCAATGCATGATAGAGTCATTTCAAAACAGGCGAATATGAAAGCCCCATATGATGTGAACACCCGACCACGAGTCGTCGCGCCCAAAGAAAGTGTCTACACGCGACTGGAACACGAAACGAACTGGTGTCCCGCGGTAGTTCGAACAAGCGAGGGGCAAATAGTGGAACTAGAGTTAGAAGATGGGAGAATTGTGCTTCGACATCTGGACCAAGTTCGCAGCCGAACGGACACAAAAAGTGGAGAGTTCGGAAAGCTCGAACTGCCAGCAACCCTTGATAGGGATCCTGACATCCCGAGGACTGAACACCTACTGCCTGCACAGANGCCAGTGACTGCACATAAATTAAATAAATTATAAATAAATTTTTTTAATTTAATGCCAGTTTACAGGCATTGTCAAGGGAAGCGATTAAACACAAATCCGACCAGCGCAAATCGGCGCAGCGGTAGAAAATGCCGCCCTGAGAAGATCGACCCGAATCCGTAAACCTATCCAACGCTTTCAGGACGAATCTAATTAGAACATTGTCTAACTATCCACTATTACCTCTACTGTTGCTCCTCCTCCCCTCCTCCTCATGCTCTCCACTTTAAGGTGGAGGGATGCAGGGTATCCTATCCGGGCCGTCAGGACATCATGGCACAAACGCGTGAAAAACGAACGATCAAGGTCATGACCCCTGTTCACACCTTCTTTGTGCTGATTGGCCACCCATCAGCCTATGACAATTCCCCTTTCCATATGCCCGGCCGTTTCCCCAAGCCTCCTTACTTGTGATGTCTATTTTTTCAGTTCAGTTCAGTTTATTGAGGGAAATAGGCGTAAGCCTTTGAGTACCCTATTTGCAACGTAAAAAATGTGTGGTGTACAGATAGATGTTCTGGGCTGAAATAGTTCAAACACGCCCATAATAGTAGGACAAAATGAGAACGGGTTACAGGGGGTGAGCTCGACTTCTCCTCGCTCTTGGTCATTTCGGAACATAAATATGTCCAGATTCTTCTTAAAACTTTGTATAGATGGTGACATCACAACATCTGCGGGAAGCTCATTCCACGGTTTGACCACCCGAACCGAGAAGGAGAACTTCCGCACATCCAGCCGTGCCTGCTGAGTGCGCAGTTTTAACGGGTGACCTCGGAGGTTGGTCGTGGTAGCAAATTCAAAAAAGTCCTCGAAGGCCAGACTGCAATCCAGCCCGTTTACAATGCGGAAGGCTTGCAAGAGATCTCCGCGAAGTTGCCTGTAACTCAAAGGAAAGAGGTTCAGATTTACTAGGCGGGTTGCATAAGGAAAGGAGCTTTGACCCCTGACCATCTTCGTGGCTCTCCTCTGGACTCTTTCGAGGCAGTTTTGATCCACAACACCCCACGGCCTCCAAGCTTGTATGCCGTACTCTAAATGCAGTCGGACGAATGTTCCGAATGTCGTAGAGAAGGCTTCTTCGTCAAAGTCCATAAACGCACGCTTGATGGCGTACAGTACGGACATTGCGGTTTTTGCCACCCTCGAACAGTGGGCGGATGGTTTTAGGGGACTCGTCGTAAGCACACCGAGGTCCTTTTGGGCTTCGAACTCTTGTAGGGCTGCACCGCCCTACTCAGTACACGTCCTATTTCCAATTACCCCTCTGTTTTGCATACATAATAGACTGTGCTTGGAGATAGGCAGAACATTTGATTCCTTCGAGAAAGTTACGTAGGTTTCACTTTCAACAGCAAGCTTAAATATCTTGCATAAGAGGAGGGGGAAATCCTCATTTGCGCCCGCTTTTAAAGTGCTAACAGGGTTACTCTCAGGTTCCCGGCTATGAGATTGACAACAACGCCAATAATTTTCGCCAAAGACGGGGCTGTATGCCAGCTTGGATAATTAATAATGGCGAATCAAAATCCTGACTTGAAGCGTGAATAATTTCAGGGAAGAAGTCGCTCGAAAAGTGTACTGAGAATGGATAGCTAAGCAGTCAGGGGGAGTCTGGCACCTTGATGACTGAGTTTGGAATTCCTTCTGTTCCCGAGGAGTATGAGGTCTAAATGACCTATTTGTTTCTGAATTGGTTCTGAGGGGGCATCAATGATATTGAGAACTCTATCTCAACGTGGGCGGAAGAAAGAATGTTTTGCAGAAGGGACTAAACGATTCCGCCTTGTCAGTGCTATTGGTGGGGATACGTTTTTCGTCATTTAACGAAGGGATCATTTCTTGACCATGCTCCAGGGAGGACTGGTAATGGATGAATTGCGCGACGGACTTTTTAGGATAGGGACTGCTGAGCGTAAATGATCCTCTCTGCATTTCGCGGGCACGACGCTTCTTCGAGGCTAATACAAACACTTCTGTAGCTCATATATAGACGGACAAAGGACTAGCAGATGCGCCTAGAAAGGATACGAGGACGCCAAAAAGGGGCCGGTTGTGACAAATTCAGTACTTTGAGACCCATTACTAAAGCCATATGCTAAATGACTCCGAAAAAGTAAAATGAGTGGAAAAAACTAACTGATTGTTAGAACTAAGTCCTAATCCTTCCCAACAACGGGCAAGGTGAACTATGAGATTTATCAGAAAAGGGGGAATAGGCGGAAGCAAAGGATATGGCTACGGGGTGAGGGAAATATGCATAACCCCAGGGATAATGTACAAAGTAACTGATACCATGACAAGTCAAATTCTCTGTCGGTTAAGTGATATCTGCTTAAATTGGGAGCATTTCAATGTGTCAGGCAGAACATCTGTCTGGCAAAATTCGTCTTAACATTTTCAGTCTAAGAGATGTTGGGCTACTTATGTTGATCCAATAAAGTGCAGCTAAGCTCAAGGAGGGGAGGACCAACAGACGAGAAAGTTTTTAATAAAATTGAAGGGTAGACAGACGTGGCACACGATGAAGGAATTAAGGGCGTCACACCACCTTATAACGTAAGGGTTCCGGAAATTCAGGCCCTTTTGTATTAAACGATAAACTAAAATGAAACAACAAGCTCAGTAGCCAAAGTCTCCAGTCACGAAGAAGGTTGACAAGTGGCGCTCATGCTTGAAATTGCGATTTTCAAGTCTTCGTACATTAAATTCCCCCCATGGTTTCTATTAGACAAACATTCACCTCGCTTAGGGTTTGCTTGCTACCACTGCGAAGGTTGAACTGACTATACCTTTGTTTTAGTTCACACAGGGAGGGCGGCACAGCGATCGCAGATTTAATTTGAATAACGTCCGTTGAGAGGTAGGTCCTCCGTTCGTCACAGGAATTATTGCCTAGGTATCACTATGGCTCGCACCAAGCAAACTGCTAGAAAATCTACCGGAGGGAAGGCCCCTCGTAAACAGCTAGCTACGAAGGCTGCGCGCAAATCGGCCCCATCTACTGGTGGAGTTAAGAAGCCTCATCGCTACAGGCCCGGCACAGTTGCTCTGCGAGAGATTCGTCGGTATCAGAAGTCGACTGAGCTCCTTATCAGAAAGCTTCCTTTCCAGCGTCTCGTCCGGGAGATTGCACAGGATTTCAAAACTGATCTTCGTTTCCAGAGCGCCGCCGTAGGTGCTCTCCAGGAGGCTTCGGAGGCATACCTAGTCGGTCTTTTTGAGGATACTAATCTATGCGCTATTCATGCCAAGCGGGTGACCATTATGCCCAAGGACATTCAGCTGGCCCGCAGAATTCGTGGCGAGCGGGCGTGAATGGTGCAGTTGTTGTTTTTTATGCATAGGACATCTTTTCCAAGACACTTTGTTCTATTTACCATAATCATCTGATGTTGTAAGCTCTCGTAAATTATACGCATTTATCAGATTTTTTAATGGTTGCTTTTTAGCCCGTGAGTAGTAACTCGTTCATATCTGTTACTAGTCAAACTTGCTGTTCGCTAGTTGACGCCGTCAGCTCTACGTTCGGATTCGGTGCCACTTGAGGCCGTCAGTTGACTCTAGTTAGTCTAGGCAGGGTTGTTTCACTCCACTCGCCTCTCTGCCACGAATGAGGGTCACCTCTTGATTGCCGTTTCCTGTGAGAGTGACGACCATGTCTCAGTTGCGGCCCCACCATCTAAGCGGTCCTTGTTTACTTGTGGTCGTGCAGTGATTTGCGTCGTTCGTATGCTGAGCTTTAGGCGGGCGGGTTTGTATGGTTTGCTCCCAACCCCATGCACCGATGGAAATACCCGAAATGGCGCCCGATCGACCGATGTGCTGTGTAACGTTGTGGTAGTTTCTGGGGCGTTGGCGTACTCACATCGGTACGACTGATGGTTTCTTGGTGGGCGGAGAGGGCCTTGGGGTAAAGTGTGTTAAGCTGACTGGCTTCAACAACACCTGTGAAGGGTACTCCCTATCACGTGCGACGGGCTTCGTAATTGGCAATGTCGGTCTTTGAAATTGTAAATCCGCCGCAATTCATATTCGGTCTCACTGGTTTGCTTGCGTCACTCGGGCGTGTGCTGCCGGTGGTCATGCTTTGTATGAGTCGCATTTTCAGTACTCGCGCCGGTGGTTGTCAAGCGCAGGCGACGTGGGCCGCCGATGGCCGGCCTGTTTGTACCGCTTTTGGATATATAGGCTCCTCTATTCTCTGTCACCGCATGGGATGGGGGCTCTTTTTCCTGGGCGAAGAGACTCCAACGCCTTGAGTTTACTCTGGCTTTTCACTAGCTCAGCATCTGCGATTCTTTTCGGGACGGGTTGTTTCTGCACTACGATAGGCTGTCGCCGACAAAGCCTAGAGGCGTTGTCAAACACGTGATTCACACCAGTTTTGGTTACTGAAGCGTGCTATCTGCTGTTTGGGGACGTGAATATTCTGACTGCTGTGTAGATTTTTGTGAGCGTCTCACAAGGGGCCCATTGTAACGTGAGGAAGTCACGATTGGTGGCTACTACTTACGGCATCCACAATTACCAGCTTAGTTGATTTCGTGTTTCGGGCCTAAAGCCTAACAGAGGGCCGCGTGTCGGCGACGATGGCCGACATAGTCCCGCGCGAAGATGAACTGTTCGACACGTAAGTGCCGGGGCCAGGGGTGCGTGCGAGGTGACCCTTCGCAGTCTATTCAGTTAACGCAGTCACTAACTGGGGCTTGTTCCATACGGACTTTCTCGCTTTCGGGTTTTCGCAGCACCTAGTCAAGTGGTCTTTGTAAGCAGGTAACTAGAACGCAGGTGGCACTGCTTTAGCTGTCAACAGCCGCTAGTCGCCCAGCACGTCCACAGGTGTCGGGTAGTGGGACGGCTTTTAGGGAGTTTTGGCTGCGAAGTACGCAGGCTCTGCGGTCTGGCGAATATGCGGTTGTGGACCAGCAGCGATAACGTTACCAGGGTGCGGTGGGCTGATGTCTGATACGTCCGCTACCTACTGAAACGCCACAAAACCCGATGACGCTGGCACGGCTACCGTAAACTGTCATTAGGTAAGTCTGCTGTCCATTACTGTCTGGTGGACAGGTCATTAAGCCAAAACGCTAGATGAGACAACCTCTAACAAACAAACCGAGCGGTCGTTGGGACCCGGTTGTACTCAAAATTCCCAAGAAACCTCAAAAAGTGTCCGAATACGGTGTTACGATCCATGCTGGGCGTCCGCAGGAGCTGCCTCTCTCCACATCCCTAGCCCAGTGACGCGGACGAATAGTACGCCAGCTGGGCTATCAAGTCGGGGACAGACCCTTGACATTAGATCCTGCAGTGTGCGGACGTCTGACTGTGCGCAGATTCCATCAGTACGGCCTTGATGTCTGCTATCTGTCCAAAGCCCGAATCCCCGACTCAGGTCCTAAGGGGATAAAGGTTCTAGGAGTCAACTCCCACTCTACCCTGTACCACCCGACTCTTTTAGTAGACGCGATACGGCGATCGCCCTATCGGAATAAGCAAACTGCATTACTCTCATGGGAGTCAGCCAATGTTGTGCTGTTTTACGTGGAATTGAAGGGTCACTTTACGAGCATGTCTGTCCTCTCCGTGTACGCAATAACAGCTGCTGAACAGCGCGATAAATGGATCTACTAGCAGCTGCAGGAATTAGTTAAGAAACTTGCGGTGATCTGCTGGGGATTGCTGGAGACTAATGACCGGATGGAGCCCGATGACTCTACAGGTAGTCAGCATCTCCACATACATCTGTTGATCTAGTATCAAATGGTGGTCATACAGCCAGTCGGATCGACTACATCCTAGTCCGTTCGAGGTTCGGCATCTGAGCTCACGATAGCAGATCAATGCGTGGTGCTGCGACTGGTAACGCCCATGGGTCTGACCATGTTCTCGCTCGCGCATACCTGGAAATTCACCTCTTATCTGCACCCAAAATTCCACGCTCTAAACACCTTGGTGCTGCAAAACTCCAACAACCCAGCACCGCCGAGGCCCTGGGCACAGAAATCCGGCCCCGTCTCACGACCTGAGTCGACAGAGAAGGCAGTGGCCAATGGTCATCACTGAAGTCATCCGTCTGTGCGACGGCTGAGAAAATTTATGGATTTGTCCAGCAGAATAACCCTACATTTGGCGACCCAGAAGTAGGTCCTGCAACGATGCCTCCTTCCGCCAATTCCACAAAATGACGGCAAAGTCGACTAAGGATGGCCGACAGAAATATTGGTCTGAAACAGCGATCTCCAGGGAGCATGGCCGTCTGCTTTGTTGACTTTGCGCTGCGTTCGATTCCGTTCATCGTAAGTCCCTGTGACGAATGATGGAACTAGGTGCTGCGTTGACCAAAATCACTACCCATATGAAGGCTTATTATGGTCCCACTAGTGCGTGAGTTATGGTTTATAACAATCTATCCCAACCGTTTGATATCCGACCTGGTGTTCGAAAAGGTTGCATCCTGTCGCTCATTCTGTTCAAGTATGCCATTGACTGGCTTCTTCGGAGGGCCATGCTAGGTTTTGACAGCCTCGTTAACCTCAAGCTTTGGTATCTTCAATTATGTGATGCCACGGGTTAATCTTCAGCCGGTTTACCCGCAAACGCTGGGAAGATCAAATTACTTTCGAGCTGCATCTCTAAACAAGAAAAAGCATCCCTCGGAGTTAATGGCTGTCAATTTGAAGAGAAAGAAAGTTTCAAGTGCTTCGCGGCGAGGCCGCTGTCCAGTGGGCAGAGATAGGAGGAGACTGCCTCCCGAATAGGTGTTGCTCGCAGGGCTTCTTCGGCCCTTATAAAGGGCCTCTGACGACATCGCCATCGCCACGGAGATCCGCATTTACTGGACATCCGTCCGTTCAGTCCTCCACTATGGCTCTGAGTGCTACGCTTTAAGCGTGGATGAACAGGAGCGGAGGTATTTAGTCACCTGAGGACTATCCGTCGAGTGAAGTACACCGACTTCGTCTCAAGTGAGACAGTCCTCATTCGCTGCGACAATATTGTGGGGATATCTCGGTTAGGCAAGTTCTTTGTCCTCTGCCCCACGACCTCGCTGTCACTATCCTCGATCCGGCGCAGTTATCCACATGGAGGCTTCAAAGAAGTCAACCTAAGAGTCAGGGTCTGTCATGCTAAATATATCCAAAAACATAGCAAAGCCCTTTGAGTGTCTACTTGCTATCTCCTGCGATCGGGTTATTGAACCGGAGCTCTAGAGGAAACAATCGCAAACTTGCGATCCAGACGTTCGTCGGAAACTCGTCTGTTCCCACGATTCTGAAGAAACCTCCTAAAGTGGCCGGACGCAGTACTACCTCCTGCAAACACAGCCCAGTGGAGCAGACTGGATCACTTTACGGGGGATGTTTGCCATCGAACGCTGGACTACACCAACGTTACTCGATTCTGGTGCTCAAAGTCTGGGCGCACAGTACTCGTCAGTACAACTTGCATGTTTGCCGTTTGTCTGGAGTCCGAACACCAGACTCGGACCCTCGGAAACCCGGAATCCAATCCCCAACTTACTCCTTACCAGGGCGCCTCATGCCGCTACAGGCGGACTGTGCTTCGTTGCCGTGGAAGCTGGTCCGTGACCGGCTGGCGTACGTACTACTGAAAGGGCGCATCCTTGTCAAAAGCCCACTAGAAGTGCGATGAATTAACCTGCCCGCATGTGCAAGATCCGGAGGCATCAGCAAAAGCTGTTTACAGTCTCCGTTGAGCAGGCCTCAAAAGTTGGCGGCATTCGAAGAAATTGCATCGTCGTGCCTTGAAGGGCTCTGTTCGTGGAATGCGTGTCAACTGTTGATGGCAATTCGACTAAGGGCGGTCTCTGGTGCGGGGGTGCTTCAATCACCTTCTGGACGTTGACGGCTACCTCTTTCCCCAGGAGCGGGATTTAATTCACTTCCAGCCTTTGCAATATCACGCGAGCCTCCCTCTAAGGAAAACATCAGAGCCTCAACCCTCGAGTTGCGTGACGACGAGGCATCTAGAGAGGACTGCATCCCTGCTGAAGTCTTGCGTCGTCACTCTAGCGCTCTGGCTGCATAAAGTGATTGATGGCGAGTTCGGCCAACTTTGTGTCTGTTTCCTGAGAGGAAAATAATACAAATTTCCAGGAATTTCACGACATAGGTCATCGACATTGTCGCAGAGGCCTTCGTTGCAGTCATTCTCAGGTGGTTCCCAGGTGTGTGGAACTCGGGGATAAGACCCAAACAAGCCGAGTCCCCATGTGAAGGTTCCTACTGCGGCCTATTCATAAACTCAGCCTTCTGCTCTACTGACTTCCCTGCAGTGTTTGATTCTGAGGA